TGCCTGTCACAACTACAAAGAGAAAGTACACATCGGCGAACAAAGACAGTAGTTGATTGATCCACAGGCATCACAGGGATCAGAACCTCTACAAGAATGGCGCGACAGTTGCACGACACTTGTGACGCACAGAGGCAGTTTTGTAACTATAAATTATCACATACGAAAAAAGAGTTTTGCAATCTTTGCTACTTGTAGTTACATAGGATCTGTAAAGTATTACTACAATACAAATCTCCAGAGTACAGAAATGTATACTGACCTTAACATTCGGATGTGAAAAGGAGAGGCAATCGAGCTCTTTCCGGAGCAGAATATCACTCTCCGACACGTTTGCAAACACCAGAGACACCTTGCGAAACCAAACACAGTACAACACACAATTTGGTACACGTTAGAGCGTAGAGAACCTTCATACACAGCTCCATTCTGAACTTAATTCGGGTGCAAAAAGGACATACCGTCAAGCTCCTTCTGGAGCAAGATATCAAACATCCAACACATTTAAAAATGCCAGAGTGAAAATGTGAAACCAAACACGATACACACACAATGTGGTTCCCAGTAGAACCTAAGAGAACAATTGTAACCAGCTCCAAATGCAAAAAGGAGATTCAATCAAGCTCTTTTCGGTGCAAGATATCACTGGCTGACATATTTGCAAACACTAGAGTGACATTGCTTAACAAAAAGCAATATACGTAATTTTGGTTGACGTTAGAGCATGAGAGGCCAACCATACACAGCTCCATTCTGAAGCACCACCTACCACTGTCCATGATTGCATTCACGTCAAACTTTGATTGAATCCTTTGTTCAATCCTCTTTCAAAAACGTGATTGGACTTCTTGAAAGGGAAGTTAAAAAACACACTTCAGACCAGAACTCAACCATCCATCAATTCATAAACGTACAATCAAGAAAGTCTCACCTATCAAAGATCTCGATTGGTACATCAAACACTTCCGTTCTATCCTCTACCTATCACAATCAATCACATTCAAACCTTAAGACTTTAAAACCGTCGATGAATCACAAATCAACAATCAAGGCATAACAAAGATTCTGAACAGTTTCAGGGCGGTGCTAAAATCAACAACCCTTAGCCCGCCACTCTCGTAGTGAGAAAAAAAAGAGAACTCCCTGCATGATGAGCCCAAAACAAACAAACAAACTACAAAAAGCAGCCAATGGCATGACCAGAAACCTACAAACCACACACCTGCAGAAAATCAGAAAATAATTACAACTCCATCTACTCCTACCTAAGAGCCTATAGGCTGGTCTATGCCTATCTTCAAGGAGGGCCTACACATCATACTGGTTTCCTCCTACGAGAATCTTGGGCCCAGTAGGATTCCAGCATGTGTGAACACTTGGGTAGGTGCCTGACAAATCACTGAAACACCCCCTTGTTTTCCATGGTAAATAACATACTTGCAAACAAAAAAAAAAAAAAAAAAAGGCAAGTCATTCACGGAGTTCCGTGGGGGTAATGCCTGTGCGGAATCGTGCAGGTTTTTTGATTTTATTATTATTATTTTATCTTTTTCTGGGAGGGGGAACGGGGGGGGGGGTGTGACATGAAGATGGGGATATGGCGAGGAGATGGGGATATGAAGCGCAGGAGGAGGATGTGGACGAGGAGGACGACGAGGATAGCGAGGACGACGAGGAGTCATCGAGATGGGGGGAGGAGAAGAGATGGACGGAGGGAAAAGAGGAAGGGCAGGAGGAGGAGACATGGACGGCGAGGACGGGGAGGACACGAGGAAGAGGAGGACACGAGAAGGGAAGGAGACGAGGAGGCACGGAAGATGAGGAAGTACGAGGAGGAGGAGGAGACAAGGAGGATGAGGAAGGGCAGGAGGAGGAGGACAAACAGGAGGACGAGTCGGAGGAGATGAAAAGGAGAAGGGAGGAGGAGACATGGAGGATGAGGAAGGGGAGGAGAAGCAAGGTGAGGCAGTTCTGTAATTTTTTTTTCCATCTTGCTGATAATTTTGGCGGGGGGCCTCAAACGCACCATTTCGACCCCAACCTTTTTTTTTTTCTGAGGGGAGTGACGGGTCATTCCCCGCACACGTGATGCACCACACAGGATTAGTTGGGCACGTGTGCCGCACGTAGGGAACCGCCCGCACGATGTGCACTTGCAAGTATGGTACATAAACGAGAAATCCCAGGAAGGCCCCAACATACTGGAGACTCGCGTTTGCTTTTTGCATACCCTACCCACCAACTCTAACCCCCCTTTTCCCCTTTAAATCGCTGGCTCACGGAAACCGAGCCCTGTTCACACTCTCTCCATCCACTCCTGCATATCACACTGTAGGGGCATGCATTACCCGTTCCCGCCCCTTCCTTGACAGACCGAGAATATCATGACAGCATCAAACCTGCCAAACAACTTTCAAATACTCCAGTTAGTCACCTTCCCTTGTATTGTAAAATGAAGGGGAGGGGTAATAAGAATAAGTAACTTAAAAAAGGAGAACGGGATGTCCTCTCATACCTGAGTCGTATCCTCAGGAGTTTTTGCAATGCGGTCAAGAACCTGAAACATGGGCGTAATACCACTACCACCACAAATCTGCAACAACACAAAACCACCACATTTTCATAAATTTATGTATTTTCTTATTTCATTTTTATTTGCATTGAAATTTGAAATCATGGGGCAGAGAGGGGGGGGCGGAAAGGGGGGGGGGGGGGGGGGGGGGGGGGGGGTGCGCACAATGCATTTTCAGAAGTAACATTTTCAGTTCAATTCTGAATGAACAAATAGAGTAGTACATAAAGGCAGTCACCCAGCCGGGGCTGGGCAGGCCGGCAGGCATAGCCAGAGCAGTCGGAATCTAGCCTTGCCTTCCAAGTCGGTGATGAGTCAAGCAGGGGGATTTGGCAGGTATAGAAGGGTTTTAACTTTTCATGGGTGTAGGAGTATATCTTAGCTCTGTTTCCTTAATATTTAATCTTAGAATGAGGAAGGATTCTAAGAAACTTTGAGAAGACCATTTCGGTCTGGTAGGCATTACCCCGGAGGACTCACTACGCACTAACAACCACATCGCTTAAAAATCCACTTTTCCCAGGTGGGGCTGTGGGTTCATGCATGTATCTCAAAATGCACAAAATTAACGGGGTACGGTTTGTGCACGGAAACAATCGGCCTGGTAGGAAAAACGACCATGTTCATCCATTTCCCCAATCAAAACATAAAACTCACCACTGGAACCTGGCCCTAAAATCGCAAGAAGCACAGACCTCGAGAAAATCGGGTAGAGGTCTCAACTTTCAACCTAGCTGCGGATTTGTTCAGGTACACCTCACACTGGAGGAAATATTCATTGATTGCCTTCCTCATTCCTAAAGAGGCAACTTCATCAAAGCAAATCAACTGTCAGATTTTCCATGGTCACGGTCTGCAAATTCTGCACACTCAATTCTCATGCAAATTCTGCACACTCAATTCTCATGCAAATTATGCGCACTCAATTCTCATGCAAATTCTGCACACTCGATTCTCATAGCCTACAACAACACCCCATATCAACACTCGTGGACCATAAACGAGGCACTACATTATCAACCACCTCTCTCTCTCTCTCTCTCTCTCTCTCTCTCTCACACACACACACACACACACACACACACANCTCTCTCTCTCTCTCTCTCTCACACACACACACACACACACACACACACACACACACACACACACACACACACACATGCAAAGAACTGTCTAAATGCCCAGAGACTTCGTCAAGATGGATACATACCATGCCAATTCGCTTCTTCATGTTTGCTGTGTAGGGGATCCTGGTAATTGGTCTGCTCAGTGGATCAACAGAAACAGAAAAGCACATCGTTAGTGTAAGGAAAATAAGAATAGATTGTTTCAAGCAGTGCAACTTTGTCTCTGTGAAAGCGACATACAACCTGACATCTGCTGTTTCTTCTCACCATCATCTTATCTAAGGAGGAAACAACATGAAAGCATTCACCCATGGATTGGAGGTACCCAAAATGCCACTTCTCAAACCATCCCGGTCAGTACTATGTGAGGAAGCGAGGGTGGGAGGGAGGCAGGGGGGCAGCGGGGGCAGGGAGGGAGGGGAAAGGCCAGACAGATGGGGCAACGAAAGGGAGAGGGAGGATGCGAGGGAGGCAGAGAGCGAGCAAGGCAGTGAGTGTAGGGGCGAGTGAGGGAGCAAGGGCGACATTCTCCCATTTCCCAATGCGGGCATAGGTCCCCCGCAAAAAAAACTTCACCTACATAATAAGCAGCAACACATACAACATCAGACCCTCTACCCACACGCCCCCAGATAAACATACACATCCTAGCTGCCGCAGTGGACAAGCCAAGGTGCATGGAGTTCAAAAAACAAACCCCAAGATTAGATGGTTGAGAGTGCTTCCAATGGATATGATCCACCAACCACGCCATCCCCAAGACAATCAGAAACTCACCCCTTGACATCAAGTGTGTCTCCGGGGACAAGGTTATTCATATGCTGTGTCATTTTCCCATTCGGATACACCTGAACCACAAACAAACCACGGAGAGAATCGGGTGCATAAGGACATAACAAACTAGCCTTCCAGAGTGGCCCGTGACCACTTCCCCAGCCAGCCTGAGCTAGGCATAAAAAAAATAAAAAAAATAAAATAAAAAAAATAAATAAATAAATTTCAAATTCAGTAAAGAAATTCGTTAAAAGTTGTTCAGTTTTTTTGCTGCATACCATTGTTTTTCTCAGACTTTTTGGTTTTTTTTTTTTCTTCTTCTTGGACCACCTTTGGTCTTCGCAAGGCCGGGTAGCCCGGGCAAACAAGGTGACCCGGGCGGCCCGGCTGGTAGCCTAGGTGCACAAGGACGTCAGAAATATATCAAACATACAGCAACATAATTCACATTTCAAAACAATGGAATATCAGGAATTCATTGTCCAATGAGCGAAGCGTGTTGCTCACACTACTCAGCCAAAACCATACAATTTAAAGTTATGGCAACCATTCCGGCACGCCCTCCACCAAATCACTGAGAGTTAGGACAGCCAACGACCACTGGATTCAACTGCACTGCACTTTTGTAGACAGCCAGTCCACCACCATTTCAATCGCTGCATACTCAAAAATCTTGCGAAACAACATTATTGGATCTTTCCACTCCCACTCCCTTAGATTGAGCCTTCACAAATACCACATGAGCATCGCTTTGCTGTTCCACATAATGGCGCAGCATTACGGTTCTACTGAAGCAGAAACATCATCCTGTTTCAACTTATGACGCATCATGGCACTACTGAAGTGAAACGCCGCCACTCACATTCAAATCACAACATGCACACGACACAACACGACATTTTCTCCTGAAGCGGATTGTCCAATTGTACAGCACAGTAAAAGTGTCTGTGTACAGCAGAAAAACTACCAATGAATCACAGGGCATTTTCTGCTGAAGCAGATTTCCCCCATCGATCGTGTATTGGACTCGCAACAGGCAACCCAGTACATTGAAAACACCACCTCCACACATACCAGCAATACAATGAAACTACCCCATAGCACACTGCAAATTTGACTATGAATGATAAATTCAGCCTGGCAACCCCAAATAAATCCAACATCCCCATCTGCACACCACCATGGAAATCACTATTTTGAGACTACATCTTTACGCAGTCCATCTGGACCCAACCAGACTCCAAGCGGACTGTTAACCCCCAACACAAACGATAGACCATAACCAAATTTTCTGCCTGAAGCACACCACATGTTACAAAATATTTTGACATCTAAATCGTGCTTTTACTTTTGGATTGGGCATTTTAGGATCAAGACCAACAGAATCGGCCTCAGACCACAGGAGCCACAAAACGTTTGCTCAGATCACAGTAAGAACATTTTCATATCGGGGACCTGGACCGACAACACCTCCCTTCCCATAGATCTTCTGGACCCTTTCCCCTATAAACGGGCAAAAGCTTGCTATGCTCCAGACAAACTCACACACTTGATGCTCCCCACAGTGTGCACGAAAGTGCATGCAAGCACACTCACACATAGTAGTGCACAGGTGCAGACAGACATGACACGTGCACACACACACACAGACACACACACACATACGCATGCACGCACGCACGCACGCACACACACACACACACACACACACACACACGCACACACAC